CCCCAAAACCCCAAAACCCCAAAACCCCGTAAGATAACAATAAAGTATAAATTTGATACAGATGTCAAATTAATCTTATTTAAATAAACAATAACTTCTATAGTTTCATTGGTAGATGTAGACAAATTCATCAAATAAAGCTTGATAAGCTGAAATAACTTTCTAATGATCTGGATCTTGCATAGTGAAATTGAAATTTTTGACTTAAAACATTTTTCTTATTGCCTCAAAACTAATAATCTCTCCACTTTTTAATTTCTTTTTGACTTCACCATCATTTATATTTATGTCTGAATTATCAATCCCATTCTCTGAATCCTAAACATAATATGAGTATCCAACTCTATGGCATTCTAAGTATTTTTTTAGCAATATTTAATTCATGATGATTTTTTCTTCGTAATCTTCATACGGTATTAAGAATATCAGTTAATTTAAGAGCATTATCAAAAGATAGAAACTATCCTTCTAAATAGGAGCATTTAGGCAAAGCTCCACAGTCTAGTTGATTTTGCTATTATCTGGATCATTATCCTAATCATAGTTAATCATCTAGTCTAGTCTCTACATAAGTGTTTTGCATAACTCAGATAAAACTTGTGGTCCTCTAAAGTTATTTTCCATTTTAATTTTATTGCAACTTTACAAATTTAATTATATTAATAGCATGGCGAAAAGGGTAATAAAATAGCTCTAGTCATTTTCAGATCCTAAAGATGACTCTGAGATAATCTCTAAATCTAAAGACTCTCAAAATAAAATCCTTGATTCAGCTTTCAACCCAGATAATCTCATGAAACAAAAAACTACTCCTGTGAATACATAGTAAATCTATTAGGACTTAAAAAAGTAAAATAATTCTCCAGACATGATGGACATAATGATGGAAGATGATGAGTCAGTCAATTTTGTAGTAGAGCATATTGACTCTCATCCTAAGTTAAGTGATGATTACAAGAATCTAAGTCATGACCATATTATCTAAAGTAGGTAGGATGGTATTCTTAGATCTCATAGATAATCAGAAAAGGATAGATTCAATGCTAGGGATAGTGAGGATATTTCTTGGAAGGAGCAATATGAGGATGTACAGAAGTAATATCAACAGATGAAGTTAGATTATAGAGTTTTAGAACTTAGATACTAAAAGCTTGAAGAAAAGCATCAGAGCTATGAGTAGGATTAAAACTCATTGTCCACTGATAAAGATAAAATCAAAGCTTATGAATAGGATATTTTGGAGCTCGAGGGATAATTTAAAGAACTTAAAAATGAAAATCTGTAAATGAAGGTCAAACTCCAAGCCTAACAATCTGAAATCAACTCTTATGAGTCCTAAATAAACGAATATGTAAACTTGAAGGTAGCCCATGAGGATCACAAGATAGAATATGAAAGACTATTGAAGAAGTGTGAATAGCAATAATAAAAGCTAGATCAATAGAACTAAATGCTAGATAACTAAGCCAATATGTCTTTTATGCCATCAAATAGTAGCCCATCACCTTATAGATCTCCAGGAAAATTATCTGATTAGGATCAAATGTAGTATGAAAGAAGAATCAGAATGCTCGAACAAGAAAAGGAAAATCTAATGAGATAGATCTAGTTGGAATAATATAATAGAATCGAGAAGCAAAAGCATAAATTAGAGCTTGAAGCAAGGCTGAAAACAGCAGAAATTGAAGCCTAAAAGAGTATGGAAGAGAGACAAATACTTGAGAGGTCAATAAAAGATTTAAAAAGAGGACAAAATGACTTGCTTCACAAGATCAGGGAAAGTTAGGAATTCCTAGATGTGTGCACTTCATTTTTATAGAGGAATGGCCTCATGGCTTCAAGTTTTATTTCGGATGATCCTTTTTGATTAAATTATCTTAAATTATTTGAAAATATTTGTATTTCAGAATTCTATCTCTATTTAATTGAATTATGAGATTTTAATTTACTCATCAGATTGGGGTTTTGGGGTTTTGGGGTTTTGGGG